TAACCAGCTTAAATTGGTTATGGTTAGAATTGGTTTTGGTTGGAACTGGTCAGAACCAGAATGAGAAATCTGCCCAGGGGCTGAAAGTTTATTCAGGTGGGGTAGAACAGGGCTGCCCAGAGATTGGTCTGGGATCAAGAGAAGCAGCAGCAGCTGGATGTGATAAATGCAGATTCTCCACCCCGCCCCGTAATACTGAATCTAGAAATCTGTGTCTTCCACAAGCCCTCAGCCTGGCGCTATGCAGGGCCAGTCTGCCAGCCCCTGGTGCTGGGGTGAGGCCGGGACTCCCTCCTGAGCCTCAGTCTCCTTTGTCAACAGGGCGAGGCTTACGGCAGTGGCCTCCATTGGGGAACTTTATGAGTGCGGGTATCTGCCTGGCAGAGTTTAAGCTCAGCGATTTCCTCACTCACTCATCAGACCAACTTTTGAGGGTCGGCCACCACCTGATGCTGTGCTGTGATAGCAGAGATTCGGCTATGCGTCCCAAGACGCCTGACTCCCTCTGGGAGGAGACATAAGACATAGTTAAGCAAACTTTCATTCCTAAGGTCACTGGGCACCCTGAACGCCACTCTTTGGATTTTGACTTCAAAAGTTTCTGCTAATTTTCTGCAACAAAGCCACAGGAGCTTTGCGATTTCAGGGCTCAGGGGCCATTTGAGTGAGCTGCTCTCCAGGCCCCCTGGGTCCCAGGTCGGCTGCTGAGGGATGAGCTGTGAAGATGGCCTGCACCCACCCCGCCCCTGCTGCAGGGTGGGAGAATCCAACACGATTCTCCCTCCCCTGGCTGGCCTTGGCCTTGGTGGAGCTGTGGTAGAAGGCAGCAGCAGGAGGCCCTCTTCTGGGGTGGAACTCTTGAGGCCCTGCAGCCTGGAGAGGGCCTGGTGCTGGCCAGGAGAAGGCACTGGGAGAGAAGCCCTGCATGTTTGGAATGTGGCGCCCTCAATGCATTCCATATGACTGGGGTGCTGGCGCCTGGCAGGCCAGAGGGGACAGAGCCAGGGGACGGGCCTTGCTGGCAGCAGCTGCAAGCCTCTTAGGCCCTTGTGCACCCTGGCTACAGGAGGCCATTTACTGTCTCCCCCAGACCTCTGGGGGATGCTGACCAGCACATATCGCTACTTCTCCTTAAAAAGAGCCAGAGCACTGAGTTTCAGCCACCATGGCTGGGAACTTTCTGTATGCCAGGGCCCTCTGTGTGCACCCCCAGCAAACCCTCATAACCCACTGGTCAGGGACCCTGGTATTTACCTTGGTCAGGTGATGACAATGGACGCTGGGCTGGTGACTTGCCCAGGGCCTCACAGCCAGTAGGAGTGGTGAGCACCTGAAACCAGGCTACAGATTCCAGGCCCAAGGCTCCTGCTGTCCAGCTCCAGAGGGAGGGGGCCACTGGGACAGCTTTGATTTCCAATCTCAACTCCACCTCCTGCCCTCCAACCTTCTCCACACATCTCCTTTCCTCACTGGGACCTGGGATTATCATGATTCAAAAGAAGAAGAAAACAAAAGCATAGAAATCCCCAGCAAACTTTTGTTTTAAATGTCACTGACGTGTAACTGACAGATAAAATCGCCAGAGGTTTTGAGCTTTCAGATTTAAGGAAGCATGATTTCCTCAAAGAGGAAAGCCTGTGATTGTCATGTGACTCACATCATATGACCACAGCACCAGCCTTGATTAATAGGCTCTTTGGGTACAAACCTCCATTAAAATCAGGAAGCCAATAAGGGTGTCATTACTATAATTGTTTAACATTGATCTGAAAGTTGTAATACAAATGGAAGCAAGGAGGTAGTAGGAAAGGACACTGTTACTTCTTAAGAATTGTGGAATTAGAATTGATACTACAGATTTTACTTAATATTTGTAGCATCTTAACAAGGTAGATGGTTATTGGATATATTAGCATTTTTTTCCTTCATTTTTTACTTCTACTTTTCCATTTTTTGTACTTCTGGCCAGTTTTCTCTGGCCAGAATCTAATAATTGAAGTTCTTAGATGATAAATCACTTGTTTGTATATCCACCAAAGAATCCTTTTACTGCTACTGAAAAGGAGACAAAATTATGCTGATTTAAATAGCATCTGCCTACCTTGAAAACCAAAAGCATGCATTGTAAAGCTAAGAATAAGTGAATTCAGGAAAACAATTGGTTCCAACTGAAACTGGTTGAAACCAGTAAAGCCAGTTCTGGCTGAAGACAGTTTTGACCAGTTTGAACTGGTCATAATCCAGTGAGATTTAGGATTTAGGATTTAACCAGTCAAAACCAGTTTTAGTTCGTTAGAACTGGTTTGAACCACTTTGATCCAGTCAGAACTGATTTGCGCTGGTCAAAACAGGTTTTAGCCACGGATTAGAATAGGTTTGAACTGGTTTTAGCCAATCAGAACAGGTTAGAACAGGTTTTAACCAGTCAGAAATAGTTTTATCCAGTCAGAACTTGTTCTAACTAGTTTTCTCTGCCCAGAATTGTTTTGAACCTTTTTAGCTGCTGAGAACTGGCTTGAACCCATCAGAACTGCCCTAAATCAGTCAAAGATTTTAACAGGTTTTATCCAATCAAATCTGGTTTGAGTGTGTTTTGACCGCTCAGAACCAGCCAGGTCAGACAAGCCAGAAGCGGTTTGGAAAAAACCAATTCTGACTGCCTTGAAAGAACTGAAACTGGTTCTGACTTGTTCAAGCAAATGAAACCGAAAACAACTGACACTGGATCCAAAATGGCTCAAAAATGGCTGAAACTGTTTCTAACTTGTTCAAACAAACTGAAACTGAAAGCAACTACCAATGGTGCTACCTGGTTCAAACCAGCTGAAATCAGTTCTGACCTGTTCAAACTGACTGAAACCAGTTCCAACTAGTTCTGATGAGTTCAAACCAGCTGAAATTGTTCCGGAACCAGCTCAAACAATTACTGGCTGGTTCAAACCAGTTCCAACTGGCTGAAACCTGTTCCAACCAATTCAAACCAATTTGGCAAAAGCTGTTTCTGACCGCCTCAAAATGGCTAGAAACAATTCAGACTTTTCAAGCAAATGACATTGAAATCAGCTGACTCTGGATCTGATTGGTTCAAAATGGTTGAAACTTTCTGATTTGTTCAAATGAACTGAAACTGGCTTTGATTAGTTCAAGGTGGCTGAAACTGGCTTGGCCCAGTTTGGACTTGGTGAAACCAGTTCTGACCAGTTTAAACCAGTTTGGACCAGTTCAAAATGGTTCAGACTGGCTGAAACCTGTTCTGAAGGTTCAAACAAAACTGGTTTTGATTGTCTCAAAATGGCTGAAACTGGTTCTTTTTCAAAGCAAATGAAACCAAAAGAATTGAAACTGAAACCAACTGACACTTGTTCTGACTGATTCAAAATGGCTGAAACCATTTCTGATTTGTTCAAATGAACTGAAACTGAAACCAACTGACACTGGCTCCTACTGGTCCAAACTGCCTGAAACTGGTTCCAACTGGTTGAAACTAGTTCCATTCAGTTGGAACCAGTTCCTACCATTTCAAACCAGTTTCAATTGGTTCAATTTGGCTGAAACCTGTTCCAGTGGTTCTGACCCGGTCAAGCCAGTTTGTAAAAAAAAGTTCTGACTGCCTCACAACAGCTGAAATGACTTGTTCAGAGCAAATGAAACTGAAAACAACTGGTTGAAACCACTTCAGATGGGTTCAAACTGGCTGTGACCAGTTCCAATTGGTTGAAACCAGTTATATCAGCTAGGACTGCACCACAGCAATAGCAGACACCACACAGATGTGTACATGTATATGTAAGACAGAAACACGTCTCTCTACACACACTACGATCCGTACTTTTTAAATGGGTGAATTGTATGGGGTGTGATCCTCTCTTAACTATCTCAATAAAGTTGCTAAAATGTTCCTGCCCCTTACTAAATATGTGATCTTGAAGAGTGACCTCCCCTTTCACAGCCTCAGTTTCCTCATCTGTGAAACAGTAACAGAAGCAGCTAGCTCATGAGGTTGCTGTGGTGTCTCCAGAAGAGGACTGATGTAACTGCTTAGCACGGTGCTTGATATACCTGAAACAATGCTAAAATCACAACAATAATAGAGCAAATGTTTTCTGAAGGTTTCTTGGCATGGGTCTGATGTCCACGACCTCACATGGCCTCCGGGGCCAGCGACAGCAGAGCACAGTCTAGGCTAGAGGCTCTCAGGGAAGCGCAGGGACCGGAGCTGTGGTGTCCCCAAGCAGGGTGTGTCCCCAGCCACAGGCAGTCCTGGTGTCCAGGTAGTTTTGCCTTTATGCATGTGGACTTTTCATTACTCTGATCTTTGTTAGATGTCACCTGTACTCCCTGAAACTAAGCTTCATCAGCCTAACAGCATCTTCTGCCATGTCTCCCCTCTTGCTTATATACTCTGCAAAGACTAAGAGGCCCCAGAGCAAGGCTGTGCCTTTCAGGCCTTTGGGACGAGTGCCCAGACTCTGCCACTCTGCCTCTTGAGGCCCGGCCTGGCCTTCATCAACACACGCACACAGAAGATGATCATTTACTTGCAAGGGCGGTTGAGACTCTTGCTTGATTGCCCTGACGCAGAGTCTAGTTCTAGACCTCCCCTTGGCAGGGAGGGGGCAGTCCTGGGGCTGGCGCTACCTAGAAGGCTTGGGAGCCAGCTGTGCTGAAGTGGCCAGAGTGGTTGCTAAAAATAAGAACTCGTCTAGCAGGAGGAGGATTGGGGGAGCATCAGGGCTCCCCCCAGGTGGATGGGAGTAGGTGGGGTAGGGACGGGCATCTCCCACCACCAGGGCACCCCGCCTGCTGTGCTGGTGGGGCTCATCCCCAACCATAACACAGTGAGGGGGACTTGCCCCTGCTACCCAAGACTAGAGAAATAGGAAAAAAGTCCCCTATCACCGCCTCGTGGACTCTGACGTGAGCTACATCAGAAATTCTAAATTGTCTAGATTGACTTTTAAAAAGAGAAACAGGTAAAAATAATTTTAATTGTTTATTATATTTCCTTAATCTACCGGGATGCTTATCATTTCAACACGTCATCAGTATAGAGCTATAAATAAATTCTGTTTGCATTGTCTTCAAGACACGGGTGCGTGTCTTCAACGCAGGGCAGCCCTCCCGCTGGGGTAACCACACCTCAAGTGCGGAATTTGTTTTTGCCTGTCGCTGTAACACAATACTATAAACTTAGTGGCTGGCAGCGGCACACAGTCTCATTCCGGAGGTCAGATGTCTGAAGTGAGCCGGAGGGGCAAACTGTGTAGGCAGGGCTTGCTCCTTCCGGAGGGGAGGCCCCAGCGGAGCGTGCCTTCCTGGTCTCTTCCAGCCTCTAGAGGTGGCAGCCGCATCCCGGCTCTCCACCCCTCTGTTTTTTTATGGTCACCTTCTCCCCCTACTTAGTTAACAAAATTGACTCTGACCTCTTCACCTCCTCTTCTGTGGACGCTTGTGATCTACTGGGCGCACCCTTGTCCGGGCTCCTGTCCCCTCTCAAGATCCCTCATAACCCTTAAGCCGGATAATTCTTTTTTCTTGGTCTCTCTGTCTGTGCCTGTAAGAAGGGGCATACGGGAGAAAGTTGCCATGGATGCAGGTGAATGGCGGCAGGTGAGCAGCTTTCTGGCGCCTGGGCCTTCAGAAGGCCCCGCGCAGGCGGAAGCAGCGAAGATGTCTTCTCTATACTCAAATGCAGAAGCACGGGACATCCGGCTTGGCCCCAGAGTGGGGCCTCGTTGCTGATAAGCAGCTGACCCCTCATCTCCTCTGTGAGGACCTCAGGGCCGAGGACCTATTTTACAAAGGAAACCTCTGAGGCTTGAAGATTTGATTGGCTCTTGGTCTCAGCAAGTAGGAGAGTGAGCCCCAGGGAAGGTGGTGGGGAGACCGCTGAGGGCCTGGCCTGGAGCCTGAGCAGCAATGTGACGTCTCAGGGACGCTGCAGTCCGGGAGAGTCTCAGCCAGCCACAGCTGCGGGGAGCCCGTGGCGGGAAGACAAGCGTGGGCCACTGCCGGGCATCACAGGTGGGCAGGGGCCTCGCTGTCTCCTGGGTGGCAGTTCTGTTAGGGTTCATGGACCCCAGTGAGGGTAACAGGTTGAGGCTTCTCCCCATTAGATAAAGGAGACTCAGGGGAGTGTGGTGTTCCCGACAGCACCCAGCCGTGGAGTCCCGCCTGGGCCGGTGGTATCCCCGAGACCTCAGCCAACTGCTTTTCTGTCCTGGTCTCAGTAACAGTCAACTCCCATAACCATCATATCACAGATGTCTGGCAGAGGTCTTTGACAATTCTTGGTTCTGTGTACTTTAAACGACAACCTCTGCTAGTGGCTTGGAGGCCCTGAGCAGTGAGCCAGCGAAGTGAGCACCTCAGCTTCCTGTGGACTGGGGGTCTGACATACTGAAGGTGGGGCCTCCAGGCAGGCAGTTGGGGGCTGGTGCCCCCTCCTCCTCTGCGCCTCTGACCACCCCTGGGAGCCCGGTGACCTGGCTTCCCCTGGAGGGGCCGAGGGAAGCTGTGGGACAGGCAGTGGATGGGACACAGGGCTGGGGGTGTCCTTGCATGCTGGGGAAGTGAAGCTGGACCCAGGGTGGGGGCCAGTCTTCCCACCTGCTGGGATGGAGCATGAGTGAGGAACCCAGCAGCAATGAAGCTCCTCAATGTCCCTGAACCCTGAGGCCCTGTCCCCTCCTCTGCCAGGGCCATGGGGCCAGCACCAGACACCTTCTGGACTGGAAGGGACCTTGAAGGCCTTCAAATCCCCAACTCCCAATTTGACGCCCTGACCCCCCAGGCATCCCTCTGGCTCTGTTCACCTGCAGCGCTGGGAACTCAGTCCAGGCAGGACAGGCAGCATCCAAACTACCCCAGTCCTTTCTGCTCCCTGAGCCTAGGCAGGAAGAGAGCAACTTGTTTCTAGTTCTTTACGTGACCCTGCAGTGACCTTCCCATCCGCAGCCACCTTCCCTCAGGCCCCACATCTCAGCTCACCATTCATGCCCCAGGTCAAGTCCCCACGCCGCCCCATCACGGTCAGGGTCCATTTCATGATGCCCTGCTGGAGGGGCTCCAGGGATGTGGTCAGTGCAGAGAGCAGTAGTCTAGCCACGGCCTCCTGCGGGACCCCTGGCTGTTGTGGGTCCTGCCCAAGGTCCCACCCTACCTGATGGCGGCCCCGGCCTGTCAGTCCCGCTCAGGCCATGTGGGCTGTGGCTGTGCCGCAGCGTGCAGGGAGGCACCAAGGGCAGATGTCAGTCCTCACACCGGCACTGCAGCCTGGCAGTGCCCCAAAGGGCCAGGCACGCCCTGCCCTGCCCTAAGTACTTGTCTCCACAATGCACTTGAGGAACATGGCATCGTCCTTCACGTAGGCGTGCTTGGGCGACTGCAGCCGGCTGAGGGGGAAGAAGAGAGGGCAGCCGCTGGCCACATTGGTCTCACTCTGGGGCCGCTGGAAGGACGCTGAGCTCAGGTCGGGCCGGAAGGCGTCGATGGCGTGCTCACGGTTGTTCTGGTCCAGCAGCATGAAGGTGACCTGTGGGCAGGTTGGGGGAGGTTGGGCCTGGGCGGCAGCAGCAGATGGTCTAACGGGCTGGACACTGGTCCAGCCCATAGATGTGTGGGACCTGCGGCTTCTCTTGTTCTGGTAAGGCGGCCAGTGCAGGTAGCACGGTGCCTCCTCCAGGACGTTTTCCTTCTCACCCCACCTGAGTTTCACCGCCACATGCCTTCCAGGGGGTGCTAGTCCAGGCACTTCAGCCCCTGGACCTGGGGCAAAGTCTTGGCCATTTGACGCGAACTCAGCCGCTTGTTTCATACAGGGGAGACTGGTCATGCAGAGGGGGGCCAGGGCTCCCCTTGCTCGGCCACACAGCCAGTTCACAGTTAAGGTGGGACCTGGAACCACGTATCCCTTGGGGCCCGCCCCGCTTACCTTGTTCCGGAAAGGCCATGGCAGCAGGGCGTCATACTCCCCTCTCATGATCACGATGAACAGCGACAGGTGGGTCCTCTTCCCCGCCCCGTCTCCATTCAGGTAGAGCCGCAGGCACAGCTTGTAGCCGTACTTGGCAGTGTAGAAAGCTGCAAACACAGGCGGGGGCACTCAGGGCAGCTGCGCCGCGGGGGAGGGCCGGGCTGGGCGGGGCGGGCGTGCCACGGGCCGGGGGCTCAAAACCGAGACCTCTGGGGTCGGCTGCACCTGCATTCTTCTGTTAGTGCCCAGAAGAGGACAGGCTTCTGGAGGCCACCTCAACCGGCCAGGCCCACCTCAGGCGTTTCTGCTGGGAATCTGCACTGCGAACTGTCATGCTGGTGCTCGGACCACACTTCAATGGAACACACCTGCTTACTGTAGCTGGTTCACCCAGCCCAGCCAGGGCAGTGCTGGCCAGGCCTCACAGCGGGCACAAGGCCAGGACTAGAGGCCAGATCTTCTACCCCGAACACTGACTTACACAGGGCGGGGCTGGGCCTCCCAGGGCGGGCCAAGGGAATGGCTGCCGGTCCTGCTGGCCGCCCTTGACCAAGGCCCCGAAGGGCTGAAGTTCAGCAGCTGGTGTGCTGTCCCCCTGGGTTATCAGGGCAGGGGGTGCCAGCAGCAGTGACCCCCCAGGCACCTTTGAGAGGAACTGAGTGGAGTGGGTGTGGGGCAGGCAGGAAGAGGCAAAGGAGGGACCAGCTGACAGTGAGTCAGCTCTGGCTCTTAGATATTTTCTGGTCGAATGGAAAGCTGGAGCCACGCACTTTTCCCTTTTTGAAAAAGTGAGGAGGAAAAGCCTCCTGGAGGTGAGGTCACCCACGCAGGGGCTGTCCCTGCTCCCGAGGAAAGGGTAGGCTGTGGATGAGCCCACTGGGACAGCGGGGCCAATCCGCCTCTGTCGGCCGAGTAAGGAGGTGGAGGACGACTAACCCGGCCTGTGGGTCTTGGTGCCGTCAGAGGAGCTGACGAGCAGGACGGGCATGAAGCAGGGGCCCAGGGAGGGGCCACGAAACCCGCCCTAATGACCTGTTAACTGAGACACATGGTGGCGAGGCTGGGGAAGGACAGGTCAGCTGAGCCTCTTGTGCACACAGACACACTGTTATGTAAACAGACGCCAATGGGAAGTGCTGCGTGACTACATGGCATTGGGCGGCCCAGCACAGAGGAACTGCACACAATGCTCATGCGGATATTGCTGCCCTGATTTCTGGCTGCCCAGGGCAGGGCCCCATGTGGCACCCGGGAATACTCCCCTACACCCTCTCACTGGCACAAGCTTCGGAGGATTGACGGTGCTCAAGAAAAAGGAAGGGGTACCCAGTTCACACAGGCCAGGCTTAATGCAGCTGAGCAGAACCCCTGGGGGCCCCACACCCCTGCCGGCTTCTGGCTGTGGGAGGTGAGCACCAGGACATGGGCACCAACTGGACACAGCCAGGTTGCCAGGACTGGCTGCTCCCCCTGCTGGGTTCCTCCTTCCACTAGGACCTGACTCCTTCTCCCCACGGTGGTCTCTGGGTCCCAGAGAGGTGCTACCTGGAGAGAAGAGGCTGATGGTTCTGCCACATGCCGACTCGTGGCACCGCCTGGTAACGTTGGTGATCTTCCACAGGAAGGTGCCGTCAAAGCTGGCCTCCTCCATGAGACGCATGTTCTGCTCCAGCTTGCTCAGGGCCTCCTCCTTCTGGGCCAGGGTCTGCTGCAAATCTACCACCTGCGAGGAGGCCCACTCAGTCAGGGTCACCAAGCCAGCTTGGGATGCCCCTGAGCACACCTCCCACAGGCCCATGCAGCTGCCCTTCTGCCTGGAATTCCTTTTCCTTTTTTCTCCCCTGGTCAGCTCCTACTCACACTCCAGGAATCTGGCTCACAGAGCCCATCCTCTGGAAGCCTTTAACCACTGCCCTGGCTCAGCCAGTTTCTCATCTGTGTTCTTTCAGACCCTTTACAACAGTTTTAGCAGAGATATTTCCTGGCTTTCTTACCACATGGTCACCCCTAGCAAGGGGTGGGCCCAGGCTCATTTTGTCTCTATGTCCCTGCCTTGCATAGTGCCTGGCACTGCTGTCAGAATAGAGCTAGGATACTTGCTGATGACCTGAAGAGACAGGTGCTGGCCTCAGGGAGCCCCCGTGAAACAGGAACATGATTGCATAAACACATCTTTACTCAGCCACTCAAAGCCAACTCTTTGGTGGGTCCTCCACAGACAGCTGCAAGAATACAAATGCATTCTTGCATGTGCTCAGGTAGGGAATTCAGGAATGAAAATGAGCTGCTGTAAAGAAAACTCCATCCCTAATTCTACTGATGAGGAAGCTGAGGTATTGAGAGGGAAAGGGGCTAGCTCAGACCCACCTATCAAGCTAGTGGTGGTGCTGCAACAGACCCAACGCAACACGAGACAGTGATATAATTCTGCTGCTGCAAACAAGTAACTTTAGTACGGTGACTGGCTATGTTAAGAAAAGTATAAACACTGGAACAAAGGAGGAGACAGTACTGCTCAGTTAAGAACTTCCAGATAAGCGGGTTATCTGGAGTTGGTCTGGGACTTTTAAAGACTCAGGCAGTGCATACATGGACAGTATGAAACAGCAAGCTCTGCTAAAGGTGGAAGTCAGGGGTAATTAGTCTAAAGAAAGAAGTACTCATGACTGCCTACCTCTGAAGGGCTTCTATGCAAACGGGAAGGCACATTTACTTTCCGTCCCCTGAGAAGGTGGGCCAGGAACAATGCAGAGGAGACAAAGAGAGGCTGACTATTTATTTTGCATAGAATTGGAGTATAGGCCAGAGATGTAGGTGGTGAAAAGGATTCACCAGAAGCAGAGCGGGGAATAAAACAGGCGGATCTACTGAAACACTGCTGAAGGGGGCAGCAGGCGGGACGGGAGAGGTCTGCTGGGCCATGTGGGTCAGCTCCCCGCCCCCTTCCCCGGGAAGCGAATTCAGGTGGTAGTGGAGACGGTGCTGAGACTTAACCCCGAGGCCACCAGGGAGGCCCGAAAGGCTGACTTTAGCTTAGTATAAGGAATAACTTTCTAAGAGTAAAAATGCTCAGCACAGACTGAGATCTCTGGGGAGGGAGTAGCGTATGTCCAGTTCAACTAAAGGCACTGAAGCACTGGGTGTGGCAGGTGGGGGGTGGTGAACTTGCCTATACCTGCTGACTCCACCTTTCCAGGGGGTCCTGGGACACTGGACAGAGGCATTTTGATGGCACCTGCCCTGAGCTGACCTGGAGGTACACTGCCTGCCCAGCTCACCTTCTGTTCCAAGCTCAGGATGTGCTCGCGGTCTAGCTGGCTCTGGTGGATGGAGGCGGCCAGGGCTAGGTGGGAGGCCTCTACCTCCTTGTTGAGGACGGCAACGATGTTCTCAAACACACGCAGCTTCCCCTCTAGTTCCGCCAAGAGCTTCTCCTTCATGAAGTGCTGCAGGACCAGCTCATCCTGGCTCTCAGAGCAGGGTGCCCTGTAGCAGTCCACCTCCAGGTCCCCAGCCGTCTCCACAGCTGCCTGTAGCTGCAGGTCTGAAAGATTCCGCTCCAGGGTCATGGGCCCGGATCCCAGGCCAGAGCCCTCATGGGCCTTCCACTGCTTCATGAACTCCAACAGAAGGTTTAGGTGGGAGGCCTGGGAGGTGACTTCATGTTCCTCCATGAGATTTGGACTCCCCTGCCAAGAGAGTGGGGCTGTCAGAGCAAACAGAGTAGGTGGGGGCAGAAGTGTCAGCAGTGGAGAGTCTTACCTCCAAAGACTGTCAAGGAAAGTCATATCCTTCTACCCTGCTGTCTGGTGGCAGCAAGAGAGCTTCAAAGGAGGGCCCTGGCATGCAACAGGCCCACAGTGAGCCTTGTGCTGCTTCTCTGGAGCAACAACGCTGCTCTGCCTTTAGCTCCGTGATTCAGGACCATGGAGAGAGGCATGGGGGGGTCATTTTCATGACACTGCACCAACACCCAGTGAGACATTAACAATTTCCATGAACATGGAGATGGTCTGAACAGTGGAACTTACTGCTTCTGAAAAATCACTAATGGAAGAGGCATTCAGAAGAGAGTCTTGATATCATGGAGAAATCAATGGAGAGGGATGGGGAGGCCCAGGGGTCTGGGACTGTAATGACTGGATCTCCTCTCTCACACTCAGGCACTTACCTTGAAGGAGCAGCCAACACTTGCAAAAGGGCACTTAACTCTAGGTTCCACCACCTCGGGGTGATCCTGAAAACAATAACGACGTCACCAGATGTGATACGGGTCCCACTGCTGCCACCAGGTGCCATCAGGGCACAAGGGCTGGGCCACAACTGCACTTGCTGTTCCCTCTGCCTGGCTGACTCCTTTCCGCCCTTTGACCTTCAGCCCTTCCATGACCTTCCTGCGAAACAGGACTAGGGCCCTGTCTTTTCTGCTGTGATCGTGGACAGCATTGCTTCTCCGCCCGGATACCTTCTGCCCAGCCCCATAAGCATCCTTCACTCTGGTTATCCTCACTGTTCTGGGAGCTCTGGGGTTCACAACTGTGTTCTGAGTGCCGAGGTTGGTGTCCAGCACAGAGGAAATACTTAGAACAGAGTGAACCCCGCTGTCCCCCTGCAGCCCACCAGGACTCTCCTGGCAGCCTCCTTGGCAATCCATCCTTGGCTGAAGTGTCGCTGCCCTGTGCCACTGTCCCCGCCAGATCATGCACAGACTGAGGGCAGGGGCGGAAGGTCGCGATACTCTTCTTGCAACCTGGTAATACTGGTAGCCTAGTTCTGAGTCTGAGGGGTTTACACATGCATTCACGGTCATTGTTGTTCCTACGGTGCTTAACAGTGAGCAAGGCAGGATGGGTTATCTGTTCCCATTCTCCTAATGAAGAAGCTGAGGCTCGGAGCGGGGGAGGGGCTTGCCCAAGGAGGCACAGCAGAGCCTCACCCTCCGCTCTTCCCACACTGATCTCCACCTCTTAGCCACCGTAAACCCCCTGGGGACTGGGCGAAACTTCATTCTCCAACAGCTGTCTGGGAAAAGACTTGCAAGCTGATCACACAAAGAACTCTGACAACTCAATAATAAGACAAGCAAGCTAATACAAAATGGGCACAATGTTCACCAGTCACGTCACAAAAGGGGACATGTGAACGACAAATAAGCTGATGAAAAGCTGCTCAGCACCACCAGCCACCAGAGCAATGCGCATTATAGCCATGATGAACGACCGCTGCCTTTCACTAGATGGCTACAGCTTAAAAGGGGACAATTTGAAAGGCTGAGAGTGAAGGAACCAGAACCTCACAGGCGGTGTGTGGGGATGCAGGGCAGTAGAGCCACTTCAGAGAAACCTACGGCGATGGCTTGGAGGAGAGAGCACGCTTCCACAGTAACTTACCTATAAAACAAGCTCGCACAGTCATCATACAACCCGCACGTTCCACCCCCAGGCATTCACCTGAGAGAAAGGCAAACATGCCCACGTGTGTGTGAATGTGTGTGTGAATGTTCAGTGGCTTTATTCCCAGCAACCATGAGCAGGAAGCCATCCCGACAGCTGGCAAATGGATGGCAGACTGTGGTCTGCCTAACCCAGGACACTAAGTAGCAAAATCAAAGCAGCCAGAACACTGATATTCAAGAGGGAGTAGCCTCGAGAACATGATGCTGAAAGAATCAGACACAAAGACTGTAGACTACATGTTTTCATGTAGAAAGGACAGCGCTACAGTGACCATGCAGATCCCAGGCAACCTGGGGCTGCGGCTGGGGAGCCTGACAGGACCCTAGGGCACACGGAAACTTCTGGTCCAGAAACTCAGTCGCCATCGTGACTGTGGTGGTGGTCACGTGACCACATAGGTACCACCGTTCATCTATTGGTGCACTTAAAACAAGTGAATTTCACTGCATGTTTTTAAAAATCTTGATTTTCCTAGAGGGTTTTAAAAAATAATCTTCCCAAGGGAAGATATCCAGGAGATCTGGATGAAAGGAGAGGACAGAGGTCTTTTGAGCTGAACACCAGGCCATGTTAGTTATTATTCTTTGCAGTAAAATGAGCCAGGGCGGTGGGTTTAACCAGCACAGTTGGTTTGGGCTCGGAACACAGCCCAGCGAAGGGTCAGCATCTCGCTCCAGCTTCAAGCACAAGTTGTTCCCAACAAAGAACACAAAACAGATGTTTTACTGGGGAAAGGGGCAGAGGACCGCCTTGCAGGGAGAGGGTCTGGCTTTGGGGAGTGTAAAGTGTGGCAGCTTCTCCCCTCAGGGCATTTCCCAGAGCGTGGGAGCGCCAAAGGCCTGCTGCTGGGTGTGGACCCGGTTTCTGGGGGTGAATCTCCTATGGGGGCCTCCTCACCCTAAAACTCCCTAAAAGTCCAGGACAGGAATCCTCTGTGATTCTGAGGATATCAGAAGTGAGAGGCCTGAGAGGGGTAAAAAGGGTCCAGTGAACACAGCACAGCAGATGAGCCTCGCTGCTGTCCTGGCCGGGAGGGGACAGGCTGTCAAGGGGCGGAAGGTGCCGCGATGGCGGGGTCGCCCTTCTTAGGACGTGAGTGCCGCCATGGGCTGCAAGCATTGACAGAGGGGCAGGGGTGGCAGGGGTGGCCTGGGAGGCCTTCCGAAGCCCAGCTGGCCAGCCCAGCTGCGCTTCTTCCTGTCACTTCTTCCTTACGGTGCTACCTGGCATGAGAGCATGTGTGCGCTGGGGCCCAGTGTGGTCCCGCCACACACTGGCTGTACAGTGACAGTACAGCTGTCTAGGCGCGCTGGGAGAGGGATGAACTTCCCTGGGTCTCAGTTCTCGCATCTGCAAAATGGGGGTAAATATGGTGTCCCCCATAGGATTGTTGTGAGAATTAAGTGAGATACTATTGCTGCTGTTAACAAAACACCACAGCCTGATGGCTGAAAACTGCTGCTCAGGATGCAGCCAGGCAGGCCAGAGCACGAGGCTCATGGAAGTCACACGGCCCTTTCCCAGGTGAGGACCTGACTGAACTGGTCTTCTGCCCCTCTGGGGACCTCCCAGGGTTGCTCTGTCTCTCCGCTTGTGTGAGCACTGCCCTGCAGGATCTCATGGAACCACAAGGGCGAGGTGCAGGCTCCAAGCTCAGAAGCAGAGCTCAGGTAGCTGGTAACTTGCATGAGGTGCAAGTTAGGGGCATAGGCAAGGGGGGAGTGCAGGAGCCTGGTGATTCCTTTGCACTGGGGTGTCCCCACCTCAGCTGAAGGGCAGCCTCGCCTGAAAGCAGGGGTGGGGGGGCTAAGAGGAAATCGGGACTGGGCGGCTGAGGAAGAACGAAGGCTCTGTCCTGGGCCCAGGCTGGAGTATGTCTGGTGCCACAGAGGCCCCTGTGTGAGTGGCCTCAGAAAGTGCTAAAAATAAAATCTGCAGTGGAATTTTCTCAGAGGAGGAAACAGAAACAGAGAAAACCAAACCCCAGCCTGGAAGGAACACTCATCCTTCTGTCCGTGGCTGAGACGTCTGGGGGTGTGGTGTTCCCGGCCACCCTGCTTACCCAGGCCCTTTGGGACACAGTCCCTGCAGGAGGCCCCCACGCAGGCAGTGAGCGAGCACTTAGAAAATGTGAGCAGGAAGAGGGCCAGGAGCTTGAGCACAGCCTCAGGGAAGCTGCTGGGCACAATAGCCACATCCTGGGCAGGGCCACAGGCTGGACAAGGTCTGAAATGCCCTGATGGGGTGCCGCTTCCACAGAGGACTGTACAGCAGCCGGGAGGACCCACCCTTGAGTGTGCCTCAGCTGGTCAGTTCCTGCCTCCTCTGTCTCAGGGTCAGGCTCTGTCCTGGCAGGCCCTGCCAGCCCAACTGTCACCTCCTGGCTTTCCTAGTTGAAAGCAGTCTCCGCGGGCCCTCCCTGGTGGCACGAGGGCTTAAAGCGCAGCTTATGAAGCTGTGTACAGCCACTGCAGCATGAGTTCGATCCCCAGCCAGGGTAGGGCGGTGACCCACACGGCGTGGCAGACCTCTCCTGTCTCACCCTCTGCTCTGCTCAACAGTGTATTTCAGTCAATCCACCTCTTCTGCTCCCCACTCTGTCTCTGGTGAATCTTCTCACCACCCTCACACCTCTGGCCTGTACCCCAGTTCTTGTATGCATAAATAAATAAATCTTTTTAAAAAGTAGTCTCCTTAATCCCACTCTCCCAAGGCACTGGGTGGTCCATGGACTGGCTGTCACTCCAAGCCACGTAAGACACAAGAGTGACCCACCATTTGGAGGCAGCTTGGAGGAGAAAATGCCACCAGCCCAGAGGGCGCCGCCTCCTCAGTGCCACAGGACTTCGGCTGGGCGAGCCTCTTCCCCGCGCCTCCACAGTTCCCATGGATGAAAACGGGGGTATCACCACCCATGACATCATGACACTGGGTGACGAGGTTCTAGATGGAACTGTCAAGCTCAGCAGTGTAAGGGTTCAGGGGTTCACTTCTAGGCATCACATGTCCAAGGACACAGGCAAGTGGGAGCACATAGAGACTGGGCCGACTCAGAGGCGCGTGGTCAGCCTCTTCCCACAGAGGCAGGACAGGAGGCTGGGTGACCTGCCCAGGAGGCCCCAAGGCAGCCACACCCGAGCTCAGGACAAACGGAGAGGAAGAGGATGCGACGGTCAGTACCCTGGTGCCCCTTTAATTCAAACACTTTGACTTTCAGCTCATCTCACATAAGGGTGAAAAAATGAAAACTGTTAGACCAAGGGATACTAAAAATCTCTCATTTGTATTATCTACCATGTGTACAATGATGGCGTGTTCAGTTTGTGAAGCTGCAAGAACAGCCATGTTAAAAACACCAGCCCAGAGCACGGAGGCACCCCTCCTCTAAGATGTCCCAATTTCTTCCTCCTGCCCCAGCATGAGGGGCCCTGGGGAGTCCCGGGATCCTTCACAGCCGCCTCCAGCCCAGTGAAATGACTAATGGCAGGACTGTAGGCCTCAGGGTAGGGGGGAAGCTGCTTACAATGGCGGCTGAGGCCTCTGGGATACACACGGGCCTCCCTCTCCCCAGCTTTCCACCTGATTGGTACACCACTGCTCCCCCAGTGGAAATCTGGGGGGTGGGCTGAGCCAGTGATCTGCCTCCTGCAGACAGCTATGTAGTTGGAAGACTGGGGGATACTCTGCCTGAGAGGGGGACTTTGGGTGCCTTGGCCAAAGGGAAACAGCTGATTAGAAGTCGGCAGTCTGCACACGTGCTGATTCTGAAGTCTGTCTGTGCCACTGGGGACCTGGGATGTGGCAGTGGGCAGGCGCCCAGTGGAGAGCCGCAGCGTGAGGCCAGAGGCGCTCGTGTAGCCATCTGCTGAGATGCCCGCCCTCAGCCTCTGATTCGGGCTCATTAATCTCTCTGAGAAGTGCTGGAGCCTGAGTTTAGACTGTTCTCACCCTGAGTCTGTCACAATCAGCCCTGTGGCTCTGGGCAAGGTGCTGCGCCTCTGTGAACATCAGTCTTTCTGTGACTTACAAACCGAATAAATCCCAATCCGTCAGATGCAAAATAAGGTGGAAGACAACTGCCAGGGGTGTGTGGGCTGCTGCCTGCCTGACTTCAACCTTGACAATCAGAGGAAGCAGACAAAGACCCTTTCTCAGTCATGCCAACGTACCTGCTCGTCAGACAGCAGGCTGCCCGGGCTCACCCCTAGGCTCGCCGACTGGGAGCCATCCCCTCTGCATTTGGAACAGATCTGGTCCTTGCAGCTCCTGGGGATACACAAACAGATCCCACTGAGGGGGGCATGCATGAGTCCCCAGCACCAGCCTCCAAGCCGGTGGGCCCAAGACCTGAGCCCCTGCTCAGGGGGGCAGCTGCTCTAAGGGACATCAGCGTGAACCACCCTGCACCCACCCTCCAGAGCCAGGGGCACCCAAAGCTTTTCTGTGGTTTAAAGTGAGTTTCTTCAGCAGTCAAGCCTGCCCTAAATAAGGCTATGACCGACCTTATTTACCCCACTTAGGGGAAAGTTTCATTGCAGAAATATTGATTTGCTTGACTGTAAGGTACGCCCCAACCCCTGCTGGAAGGAGTGTTCGTGCAACAGCAACAGGCTGATTGCTTCTCTAAAAATCTGGAAAAAAAAAAATCCTGAATTCCAAAACACATGGGAACCAGGGGCTCGCAGAAGGGATTGTGGACGGGTGGTGCTATTTGCTCTTTCCAGCTTCCTCTATTTGGTTTCAGTCTCTTATTTTTAGTCATCAGAGTTGACCATGGCTCTCAGAAGGAGGGGTCCTGGAGATCACCCAGCTGGGGTGGTTTGCTGGGGCTCAGGTCAGAAAGATTAGGGGCTCTACACTTCCTCAGAGCCCCTGAGGGAGGATGAGTCACTGCGCAGTCCCACTTCCCAGGTGAGGGAATGGGCCTTAGGTGGGGCATGTGAGGACTGGCAAAGGGGCAGTGAGTCCCAGCAGAGCCGGAGTCCTGCACAGGACTCTCAGGCCCCTCCCCGCAAGTCCAGTCGGCTCCTCCCCTCCACTGCCAGATCTCAGAAGAGCGGGCAGGGAAGCCAGGAGCCGCTGCAAACCCCTAGATGAGCAATAGGCTTGGGGGAAAACCAGCCAAGTTTTGCTCTACCCCCACTTGACCCTCCCACCACTTGCCCTTCCCGCCTCTCCCAGCCTCCCTCCACCCCCATCACCAAATTTGACCTCACTGGCCTGATTCAGTTTTCCCACCTCCTTAAGCTGTAAAACCCCAAGCAAAAGTCACTCTGGGGGCAGTGGCAGTTTAAGAACACAATTGCCAGGAAACAGACTGGGGCAAACCGGTGGTCTGTCCCTTTAGGCCTCATAGTTCTCACTTGTGAATGAGGAGGCTAGTAAAGCCTGTCCTTCCAGGCTCTTCTGCCTGCCCAGGGAAAGAGCTGGGCACACAATAGTAGGTGGTTAGTAGTTAAGGCAGGATGCTAACGGTGCTCTGTGTTATTTACATTTACGTATAATCATGCACATATTTTACTACATCATGGACAATGCATTACATATTTTATATACATATAACATTTCAGTTAATATGGGTCATAGAAATAGATTCATGTTCATATATAGGTACAGATACATATGTATTTTTTTATATTATGAAAAATATATATATAGTTTACCCTTTAAAAAGGCCTGCAGCAAACAGTATAAGCTCTGGTAATATTCAGAAGGAGGTCTATCTCCACACCAGTTTGTCATTTAAACATTCATTATTAAAAGAGCTTTTTTGAATATTCTTCGTTGAGCCCTGTGACAATCCTGGGAGGTAGAAAACAGCTTTGCAGGCATTTCACAAACAAGGAAGCTGAGGCTTGGAGAGATTAAGCAATCTGCACCAAGTAGCCAGCTGGGCCTAGAGTCGCCCCTCTGCCTGGACAGCACTGTGGTGGGCGGGGGAGGGGCCGCTGCCTTCCTGAGGCTGAGTTTCCTCATGCCCATAGCCAGGAGGGGCAGGGCCAAGCACCATCAGGAAGGATGTGAGAACTGAGGCCCAGACAGGTGCAGTCACAGTCCCTGTCACCCTGCTTCCCATGGGGGGCCCTCCGTGGCACCTTCTCGCCCACCCTTTGCACCAATGCCCCCTCACCTCACATTCTCAGAGAGACAGGTGGTGCAGCAGAGAGCCCTGGGCACAGGTGGGTCCTGGCAGACAGCGGGTGGGCACCCGAAAGGAAACTCATTCTCATCGGGGGCTGGGTGGGGGCTGCTGCCTGAGCCAGAGGCCATCCCGGGGTCCCAGCTTCCTCAGGGGGTCCGTCCAAGCTCTTCGGGGCACAGGACCAGCTGAGGAGCCTCTGCTAAGAAGAGATGAGTGCCGGCTGGGCCGCCCTCCCTGGTGAGAGGGCGTCTGATGACTTTATCTTCTTCTCTCTGGTTTGTGTGGTTCAACGTCACAGCTGAGTCACAGCAGGGATGGGACAGGAATTACCCTTTGTGGTTAAAAAAAAAAAAATCCCCTGGATGGGGACTGAAAGCTCTAGGAGTGTCCAGTCATTCTTTGGTGAGAGAGCAAGAGAACACATCAGGGAGGAAAAAGAACCATGCCACGGCCTTTCAGGAACCAGTTAAGAGTTTCCCCGGCAGAGAAGCTGGGGCTGCTGCCAGCTTCCTCCGCGGCCTCCCAGGGGGCCCTGTGCTGACAGCCACAGCTGGTGACTCGCCTGAGCTCGCTGGACCTCCGAGCAGCCCGAGCAGCCCGGAGGATTCTCGGAGGAGGTGCCGACTTCCTGGTGGAAATCCCCAGGGCTCTGGAGGCAAGTCCAAAAATGCAAGTTCCAGGCACATTAGCTCTTTCCTGTCCAGAGCGTCCCAGGTAATAAACACTTCCTCTCTGTGGCTCTTGGTTACCCCATCTGTAAAAACAGGAATTTAACAGGTGGTTTCTGGGCGCTGAGATTCAGGGGCCTGGGAGGGAGGCTAGCAGAGGCAGCAGGGAGGTCTCCACTGGCCCAGCCTTCATCTCTGTTGCAACGAGGCAGGACCCTGCCTGCCTTTGAAGTCCGAGACCTCAGGACCCTGGATTGCTCAAGGGCCTCACCTCACGGTTCCATTCAGGAAGTCATAGGTGGCCACACAGTTGGGTCAGGCATCACCACTTCCCCACCCTGAGGAGACCAGAGCTCTAAATAAATGTAAGGTCACAGGAGTTGGTCTCAGCGGCCAAATGGGCACAGACCACGGCTGTGTGGGAGCCATGGCCCCTGGTGTGTTTGGTGCCAAGCAAGGTTTTCCTTCTGGATCCTCAGAGCAACTACCAGCAGTTCTACTCAGCAAACTGCTCTGAAGTCACTCAGGCCCTGGTAGGGGAGTGGAGTAATTCTGCTCCTCTGCCTATACAAGGCAGCCTGGTGGCACCCACAGAACCCTAGATGGAGGTCTGAGCTTCCAGCCTCCATTTCCTCAACTATCGGATGGGAACAACCCCTGCACAGCTTTCTATCCTGCTGGGTTGGATTTTGCAGTGGTTCAAATGGGGCTTTGACACATGAGCTCGAACAGTCCTGAGTGGGGGGTCTAAGTTTACCACTTACTAGCTGTGGATCCTTAAGTTTTCTGAACCTGTTTCTGCATCTGTAAAATGGGGCAACAATCATGCCCACGCCAGCAGACTGCTGTGGTGCTAATTGATGCAGAGCAAGAAGCGCAGTTCAACCAAAAGACAGGGACACTGGATTCCAGCCATGGCCACAGCGCCTCAACATGGAAGGGCAGAATGGTAAATGATGCTGGTTTATTTAGTCTTTTCCCATTCGTCATCTTCACTCGAGGCCCACAAGTGCACAAAGCAGATGTTCTCTGACCCTACATCATTCCAACTGCTGCCCCTAATTCCCAGGATTCTGAGGCTGCCCTGGGCTGCTCTCAACAAGGGCATGACACCCTGGTGCTGGACTCTAAGTCAGGACCTCCACCCTCAGTGGAGCCAGTCCTGACCTGGCCCTCTCAGAAAATTACCTTGAGACCTACTTCAGGGAAAAGACTGTCTCAGACACTTAGCTGCACACCTCACAACCGCACTGTTGTTCACCCCCAGCTGGTGCCTCCAGCCCCTGGCTTGGCACAGACAAGGCACTCCCGTCTTTCTCCTGTCTGAGTTCTGGGTCCCATTCTCTCTCTTCTGTCATTCACGCCTCTCTCTCCTCCAGCTCCTTCCTATCAATATCAAAACATGCCAACCTGCTCTGACAATAAGTGAGAAATAAACGCAGCTATGTTTAATGCCGCTAGGTGTTTCACTGTCATCACCTCATTTAGTCTTCATATGAACCTGCTTTGCAGATGCTGTCTCCTCGTCACCCCTCCTACAGGTGAGGGAAGTGAGGCTCCGAGAGATGAAGCCACTTGCCCAAGGTATCACAGATAGTGAGTGGGGACTCCTGAGCCCCAGCCTGTGGTCTAACCACAGAAGCTGCTGTAGCTCTTCACCTTTACCCCCCAGTTCCTCATTTGAACAGAGCTTCCAGAAAGGACAGTCTGCACAGGCTAACACTCCACATTTCCGCACTAAAACTTTCTTAAGGTTTTCCCAGTTGAGGGTGACAAAACCACTAGGCCCTCTCAGTCCCTTCCAGAAACTTGTCTTTCCCCTGTTTTTTTTATCTGCCTTCAGCATTTCCCCTCCCCTCCTTCCCCCCAACCTTTTCTCTAACTTGACCTCTCTCTCTTCCATCCTGAACTTCCATCGGGTTCTCTCTGTGGCTCCACCTTCGGGGTTCCACACATGCCTACCCCCATCTCCACTTGTCTTTCAGGGCACATCTAGACCAGATCTCACTTTGCCTGGGAGTTTCCGCGGGCCACTCCCAGGACAGGGTTGGGCGCCCTCTTCAAAATCCCGCTTGCAAGAGCATGGCCTCCCGCCGCCCAGCCCGGTGATGCCTGTTGCCTATCTGGCACACCCCACCACCCCCAGCTCTGTCCATGCGCCCCAGGGCCGGTGACTGGTCGCCCGACCACCACACCTGCAGTTGCGTGCGCAGCGCTGCGAGCAGAGCGGCGCCCGCGTCTAGCTGGATCGAATGAACCCCAGGGGTGACCCCGCGCCTGGAAGGAGGGCGGAGGCCACGAGTTCGGGGGCGGGCTCTGCGGCAGAGGATTCCAGATGCCAGGCCGCACCCGGGGAGTCCCCGCCCGAGGGAGCCGGACCTGGGGCGTCGGGGG